GGGGGGGGGGGGGGTGGTCTCCCATCTCTCATACTGCTTTGTTAGATTTTAATAATATGATTTTTAACAACTGCCTCATGGATTTACACTCTATTGGGTGCAAATTCACTTGGTTTAATCAACGTTTGGATAATCCAATCCATATCAAACTTGACAGAGTACTGGTAAATGAGGGTTGGATGAATGCTTTCTCTGATTCCTATTGTTCTTATCAAAGTCCCTCCTGCTCTGATCATTGGCCGATTATTATTCACTCAGGAAGAAATATTCAGGTTAATCACATATTTTTATTTAAAATTTACTGGACAAGAATTGATAAATATTGGGCTCTTCTTCTCTAGGTTCTATATTTGCCTTGTTCGGGAAACCCGTTGTCTCATTTCTGTAACTCTCTGAGATTCTTTAAACGAAGCATCAAAATTCAATCTTGAGCTACCTCTTCTAGTGTTAGCAGACACCTAGATCAGTTGCATCATAAACAAAGGTTTTGTTGGAAACTCTGCAAGGAGACCCTAGCAACTCTATTTTGAATCGAACTTACAAGGAGATTAATACTGAATTGGCTAACTTCACTTCTATGGAAGCTTCCTGGATTATTCAGAGGGCAAAGGTTAACTAGTTAAAAAACGGGGAAGATGACCTCAAATTCCTCTATGCCAAAATTAGGAGCATAATGGGGTTTACCAAATCGGTTGTTAATTTACTTGCTTGTAATCCCCGAACAACTAGAGCTGAAGTGGTTTATTCTATAATACAGTACTTTCAAGACCTCTATAATCTCATCCCTCCTACTAGTCTGGACTTGGATACTTTCCCTATTGGTATTGCTTTACCTGATGCTTATGCTTCCTCTATCACTTCACTTGTGACGGATGAGGATATCAAGTCTGCTGTTTTCATGGTTTCTTCAACTTCTGCTCCTTAGCCAAATGGCTTTAATTTTCACTTTTACAAATTCGGGTGGCATATTCTTGGCCCCATTATATATAGGGCAATTTGATCCTTTTTTCTTAAAGGGTTCTTGCCTAATGGGGTCAAATCTACTGCTCTTGCCATCATCCCTAAACATAAAAATGTTGCCAACATATCAGAGTATAGGCCCATTGCCTTGTGTAAGGCCCTGTATAAAATTATTGCTAAGGTTATGGCAGCAAGGTTAAAACCGGTAATGAGCTTGATTGTTAAGGATAACCAAGCGGGGTTTGTGAAATCTAGAGTGTCTACTGACAACATTTTTCTTGCCAGTGACATTCTCTATTATGCTTTCAAAAGAGGAGGTGCTAATCTGTTTTGTGCTAAATTAGATATTAAGAAGGCTTTTGATTCTGTTTTTCATCAGTTTTTGTTGGCTAGGTTAACTTAAAAAGGTTTCCCTAGTCTCTTTGTTAATTGGGTCAATGCCTGTATCTCTGATTTTAACTTCTCCATTGTCCTTAATTGTGCTCTTGAAGGGTACTTCTCCTCTACTGCTGGGTTGAGGCAGGGGTGTCCTCTTAGTTCTTATCTCTTCTGCCTGGTCATGGATGCTTTTTCCAACCTCCTTGAGGGGAGAGAGTTCAAAGGTATCTCCACTGATAATTACTCCCTCACTTATTTGCTCTACGTAGATGATGTTTTGATCTTTGGGGAGGCTACTCTTGGGAATTATCAAGTTCTTGCATCCGTTCTTAGGGATTTTGCTAACACCACGGGGCTTTTTATCAACTATTATAAAAGCTCTTTCATGTTTCCTAAGCACCAGAGTAATAAGCAAGAGATCTGTCAAGCGCTTTCCATCCATTCCATTATTAACAAAATCACATACCTCGGCATTCCTCTCTCTTTCTACAGGCTCAAAATTGGTGACTATCTCCCTCTCTTGGATAGTATAAACAAGAAGTTCAATGGGTGGAAGGCCAATTTATTGTCTTTTGCAGGTAGACTACGGTACTTGATATTCACCATTCAAAACACAATAGCATATTGGATTCGTGGTTCCATATTGCCTAAATATGTGTATAAGGTTTTCAAAAAATTAAGCTCCATGTTTCTATTTTTTGGGGATGTTCATTCTTCTAAGAAACTTCATATGATTTCCTGGGATAAATTTTTTTTACCTAAATTAAAGGGAGGATTGGGAATCCCTTCTATCTCTGCTTTGCAATATGCTTACAACTATTCTGTCATCATCAGGATGTATAATGGCACTTCCCCTCTTTCTTCTTGGCTTTTAACCAAATATAGTTCTCTTTGGAAGCCGCCTCTAGTATCTGCTTCTAAACTTTGAAAATCTATATGTAAAACTACTGTTGAAGCTAAAAATTTCTTTTAGTTTAATATTATACACAATGCCCCTATTTCTTTGAAATGGGATCACTGGTGTCATAATGTCACTTTAGGAGAATATATTGGGGATGGGTCTCTTGATACTATAACGGAAATCATGTTATCTGAGCTTGTTTCTGGAGCTAACTGGGAGCTGTCTGGGAAGCTTCCTCCACTGTTGCATCTGGCTTTTGACAGGTTGAATATTTATGTAGGTATTGGGCCTTGCTTGTTATGAAAAAACAAAAACATTTTTAGGTTCAAACACTATATTGATGAGTTTTATACAGATTTACCTGACTGCAATTGGTTTAAACTAGTATGGCATAAAAGACATATCCTTAAACACTCGATCTTTGTATGGCTTGCTTTAGTGGGAGGTTTAAAGACAGCTGATGCTCTACTTATTAGGCACATACATGTTCTAGTTAGGTGTAGTTTATGCAATATTCATGCGGAATCTGTTTCACACCTGTTTTTGGAATGTTCCTATTCTTTCTCTATATTGAAGGGCCTTATACCTGGGATGAAATTTTTCTTTTGAGGCCCTCAATTATGCAAATTTTTGATTGGTTAAATGGTGAATTTTATGGAAAACCTGAGGTTTTGAAATTTTACAAGTTGGCGGTTTGCTGTATTATCTATTACATCTGGAAATAAAGGAATAATAGGAGGTTTGGTTGGAATTCTCAATGCTCTACTGCTGTGCAGATAAGCATTAAAAGAAATCTGTTTGAGAAGGTTATGAAATGGAAGAGTGCAACGGTTTTGCTGGAGAGACTTTATGCCACTGGAATTATTCTCGGGTCCCTTCGTCCCTTCACGTTAGCCTGCTTATGCATAGTCTGGACGATGACGATGCTCCCTCTGCAGGCCCCTTGGATGGTCTTCGGGCAACCAGGGTTCTGTGAATATTTCGTTCTTTTCCAAATTTTCTGAGTCCAGTCTTTTTTGGCTAGGGAGCTGGTTCTATTTATCTGCTATCAGTAGTTGTTTTCTATAATTTTACATCATTTTTGTGCAGCTTGTATTTGTTGTAATTTTTGAGCTTCTTTAAGCTTAGGCCTTTATTTGACTGGCCTATTTTTGTGGTCTCTTATCTTACTGATGTAATTTTTTATGTTTCAATAAAAGGGCAAAGCCCAAATTTTTCAAAAAAAAAAAAAAATCGGCATTGAAATAATAAATTTGAATCATGCCTTGACTCATTTAGCTCAATCCAAGCTAAATTAATTTAATCTTCAAATAATTTTATAAGTTTAAATAAAAATCTCAGCAATATGTTTCATTTGATTCAAGCCTGTTTGAACATCGAGCAGCTCTACGTTAGTATTTTAATTTTAATTAGGCTCTTAACAGGTAATTCAAAAAAAAAAAAAAGTGTACGGATGTATGAAGCCTAGATACTTTATAATATCGAAAAGCCAAATAACCACTAAATCTGAATCAAAATTTAACTTTTTTTTTTTATCTATCATACCAATAATTTTCTTATAATTTTTGTTTGCATCTACTGTACACGAACGCTTTGTTAGGGCTATGAAATGAGTTTGACTCAATAACGACTGAAATCGTATAATTCGACTTGTAATTTGATTTCGAGGAACAATTTTTTTTTTCTTTATGATTTCAAATTGATTTTGGTCTAATCTGAGCCTAACTTAAAAATCGGCATTGAAATAATAAATTTGAATCATGCCTTGACTCATTTAGCTCAATCCAAGCTAAATTAATTTAATCTTCAAATAATTTTATAAGTTTAAATAAAAATCTCAGCAATATGTTTCATTTGATTCAAGCCTGTTTGAACATCGAGCAGCTCTACGTTAGTATTTTAATTTTAATTAGGCTCTTAACAGGTAATTCAAAAAAAAAAAAAAGTGTACGGATGTATGAAGCCTAGATACTTTATAAGGACTGTGGACCAGAGAATTGCCTAATTTTTGTGAGTATGCTTAATAAAAACACTAATTATTATTCACCACTGATCTTTTGCTGCTCACACTCACAAAAGTCGGAAGCAACTTCAGTCTAAACTTCGGACGTAATAATCTCTTCTTTATAAGAGAAATTATTGTGTGCATAGTGTGCAAAATTCGGATAAAAGATAAGTTTGAATTTTATGAAGATACACATTAAATTCATAATTTTTTTAAAATTTATATTTTTACTATATACCTTTACAAATTCGAATGATCTGAACCCCACATATACTAATTTCTCCCTTTATAAGCTCATTAGAGAGAAAAATGATTATGACCTAACATTGCTTAGTTTGGTTGGTGGACGAATATGATTGAGAACACACAACCCGTGCTCAATTAGTTTTTATGTATTTTTCTTTTAAAAAATTCTGATTTTCTTTTCTTTTACTTTTTCCTATTATTGTAATCTATTATTGTAATCTGTTCATGATTACTAAAAGGGGATTTATATATATACCACTTTATTTCATGCTATTTACATATATAACACTCAAAACATTAATATTACATATTGATCACCCATAAAACAAATTTGAATGCATGGAATGAAATATTAAAGTTTATAGAATAGCATTGATGATATAAATGAATTATAGGAGTAGTATATTTGATATAAAATTTTAGATAGATGATATACATATAATATTAATATTTTAGATATTAGATATATAAATAATATGAAATAAAGTGGTTTGTATGTAAATTTCCCTTAATAAAATGGCATATTTCAAACTTTTCCAAAAAAAAAAAATACAAAAAATATTAGAGCGGACTCATCAATTGACTACCGGCACGTCACTGCGGTAGTGCTCCCACAGCCGCCTCCCCATCTTTGACACACTTACCTTTCATATTCCGTGTACTCTCTGTAACACTTAGCACTGTTTCTATTTGTTACCTAAACAGGCAGCTGTAGCAGAGAGCAGCGAGGTGTAGAGAGAGAGAGGTTCTCATGGAAAAGCCCCAAGACCCCCTGCGGCAACGCCATGGCGGCGGTGGAACAATAATCGCATCCTGTGCTCTCGCTGCTGGCTTCATAATCCTTGTCTCCGTCGTCCTAACAGTCGTCTTCTTCGTCCTCTTCCGGCCGCGCGATCCCGAGATCCACATCTCCGCCATCAATCTCCCACAGTTCGCTTCCGTCAATGGCACGGCGAGCTTCTACTTTGCGCAGTACGCAGCAGTACGGAACCCTAATCGCGCCGCCTTATCTCATTACGACAGCTCGCTCCAGGTTCTCTACGCTGGCGGCCAGATCGGGTTCATGTACATTCCTGCGGGCGAGATCGCCGGCGGCCAGACGGTGTACATGTCGGCGAGCTTTCCCATCAAGTCATTTCCCCTTGTTGCGGCTACAGGGGGGATAGTAGAGGTGCAATCGAGGATGAGGATGAAGGGTAGGGTTAGGGTTTTGATTTACTTCACGCACCACATTGATGCAGCAAGTGAATGCCACGTTGGTTTCTCTTCCACCGACGGATCGGTTCTTGGCTACCGGTGTTGATAGTCCGTCGGATCCTCTTGGACGAATACGATCGGGTGATGGCAAGTAATTAGGGTTTGTAAATGAGTGTAGGGTAAAATAATTAAAGGGAAATGATATTATATGATCGTACGGCTGATATTTTGTGCTTTTAAGAGTAGCTTGTCTTGAATTTTTTTGAGCGCTTAATATATGCATGTAATTATTTTGAATATTATATGAATAGAGATAATTGGTTATTTTTTTCATGTTCTGCTTTCATTTTTACTTATAATAATAATAACAATAATAATAATACTAATAATAATAATAAAAAGAAGGTTTGTAAAATTATAGTGTTATTTTGATAATATCTCATACAAGTTGAACTAACCAAATCATCCCCTTCGAAAAGCAATGCCCTTTCAAGACCTGAGCTTTATTAGGGTTTCTTGCGAATCCTAGGCGACTAGGGGTTCTTCTCTCTTCCTACCATCAAGAGGCTATTATTCAGGCCGCCACCTTTTTTTTCCATCTCGTGATGGATCTTGTTGTGGATTTTCCTCTACTTAAGTTTTCATCTCATATGGGTACCTCACTCATGATTATTTCCTCTTATTTGAAAGATTTGAAGGGGCTATTGACTTCTCGTCTTTCCTATCCCAAAGAATTTTCAAATTCTTTTGTTTCTCTAAAAGATAATCTTGCTCTTTTTCTGATAAAGATGTTCAAACTGCTTCAAAATCTCGGGGGTTAACTTTGGCAGGTTATTCCTTAGATAAGAAGCGTTTTAATGAAGCTTTGTGTTTTTCAATATTAAAAGCCTATAAGTTAAATGGTACGCTCACTCTTCTTTTTTCGAGTGAAGGTTTTTCTTTTTGAAACAATTTATTATTCAAATATGGTTGCCCTTATTTTGTCCTAAATGTGAAAAATTTGTCTCAATTTCTCTCTCAATTAAAATCTTGGGACTCCCTTTAGTCTTTTGGACACGAGGGTATTTTAAAAATTGCTTGTTTGGTAGGAGTATCAATTATTGTAGATTCTCTTACAACAAAGAAAATGTAGCTTACATTTGCTTGTGTTTTTGTTATGGTTAACAAAGAGTCTGCCCTACCGAAGGAAATTAATATATCCATTGCTAGAAAAATTTTACCTTAAAAGTTATTTATAACTGAAAATTTGTTTCTTGTTTGGGCTATGGTTCGATTGCTCATCCTCCTTTATGCCCCATCGATCCCAATATTTCAACTTTTGAGAAAGAACTATTATAAATCTGATCCAAACACTGTGATTTTGATGATAACAAATATTATTTTTTCTGGTATTGCTTTCTCCTTTTTTTGTGATATTTTATTTTATTCTTTACTGTACTAATATTTCAGGAACTCTGTTCATCGTTCACTTGCAATTTTGATCAGCTCAATACTAGGTAGACTAGGGTTACATTCAGTTTTCAATTTGTTATGTATTTTTCTTTCTTAAGTCTTATAATGTAATTTGGTGGATATCTCTACTCAGTAACCTTGCACATACATAGGAGCGGGGTAGAGAAAATGTTTTGAGAAAGTTTTTTATGTACATTGTATTGTATAATTTTTGCTTCATACTATATGATATTGCTTCATATTGTACGATTTTAATTTATAATGTATGATCTGTTGTTCTTTGTTAAAACCCTAGTCGCCAAAGGTTAAGAAAGATACTAATTATATGATGATCGTACAATACGATTTGGTTTGTAGTGTACGCCCTAATTAAAATCTTTCTTAATTAACTCCTCGATATCAGGCAATTAAATCATGGATAATTTTTATGACAGATCATACTATATGATACAATTCGTACTAAATAATTTCCTGTGTACGAAATTGGTTGCCTCAGAGATTGTACTAAATAAAATCCATATTTTTTGTACTGATCATATTATATGATGTCAACAGTTCTAGACGATAGATAGTGTACAAAATTGGCCATCCAAAATAAACAAAAGGAATTTTTACATTTCGTATCGTACGATATTTGGATCGTGCTATATGAAATGTTATAAAGGTTAAACAATTCATCTGCACGACCTTGTTAGACGAGTATGAATTACACTGATCGTACGGTATGATACATGTATTGTACTGTAATTAAGTTGAAACACTTGAAAATTAGGATTTCTTGAAGCCCACTACTGAAGATTTTCTAATATTCCTATTAGAAAATCTTTGGCTGTTGAGACTTCAAGAGAGAGATCCTTGAGGGAGAGAAAAATTAGAGCTTTGGGATAGAAGAGAGGGAGATTTTGTGAGGGAAAAGTTGTGAGGGGATTCACAAGGTTTCTCTAAGCAAGAATCTTGCCTAGTATCTACAAGTGTCTGCCTTGATTCTCTATAACTCCAGAAAAGAATTTCTTCGAGCAAAGATTATGGTTCTTTGACCATCACCTAGAGGGTGAAAATGGAGTTGTGGTTCTCTGACCATCACCTGGAGGGTGAAAATAGTTTCATGATTCTCTGACAATCACCTGGAGAGTGAAAATAGAGTTGTGGTTCTCTAACCATCACTTGGAGAGTGAAAATAGAGTTGAGGTTCTGTACCTGTAAAAGAGTCATGATTATTTACCGCACCAGGACAATGAAACATTGTCTGTACATTCTTTTCTGCCTTACTGTAGGAGCAAAAGGAAAGTCACTACTATTTAGTGCAATACTTGGAGAGGGAGTCTCCATGGAGTGGAGATAGGTCAAGTTGACAAAACCACTAAAAATTCTGGTGTGTTCATTTTGATTATTCTATACACTTTATTTTATGTAATTATACATGTGGTTGAAAAATCTGATTTATTTCATTAATTTGAAATTTACTTATTTCTATATCCGCTAAATTGATTGTTATGTGTGGGTTTGAAAAGTTTTTAAATTTTTTTTTTTCACTAAAGAATTTTTAAATTTCTTTTTCACTAAAGAATTTTTAAAATAAATAATTCACCCCCTCTTGGTTAGCCTCGGGCTAGTTCTTAAATGTTTAATAACCTTCAAGAACTTGCAAAAAGCCCTTATGAGTAGAATTACAAGTACAAAGGCAAGAATGACCCTCACTACAGGAAAGCCCGTCATTACCGGCAGACATAATCTGCCGGTAACAAAAAAAATACGACGGAAATATGACATTTCCATCAAATTTTCTGCAAAATTTCATGTGCCGGTTTGGCACGCGTTAGAAAAATTTTTTTGGTGTAAATAATATGCCAAAAACTTTCTGGCGTATGTTCTGACGTATTACCAACGAAAAAACATGAGCCAATTACATCGCTTTCCATTAGATTATTCCGGCGTTAAATACGCAGGAATTTTTGGCGTATAAATATGCCGGCAATACCGGTGGACAAAATGTTGCAAAGGTCGCCGTAACTAAAGCAACGAATGATAACCAGCACATTATCCATCAGAAATACCGACGTATATGTGATGTCGGAACGAATCGAATAATTCGTTGTATCGTCATTTCCGGCGCCATACCGACGTATTTTCTGCCTGAAACTTGTAGCATAAACAAAAAAAAAAATTGCCTTCCCTAGAAGCAATCAAATTTCCACACCTGCACATATACAAATAATTGAATAATTCGTTCCACGACACATATCAACATAGAACAAATATCAAGAACTTCAATAAATACTTATAAACATAACTGTAAACATTACAAATTGTTCATTAACATCAACCAAAGTTGAAAAACATCACAAATTGTTCATTAACACCAATTCATATGACATTAAAAAAATTAAACAACTACTCTAACTCCATGGACTCATCCTCAGACGGAGTTGCCTCTTTTCCACTCAACCGCTCCCTCATTTTGCGCATTTCATCCAACAACTAATTTGTTGCTCCTGCATCTGCATCTGTATCCACTACAGGAAAAATGTCAAATACCGGCGGTTTGCA